GAGGTTTCTTCCTGTTAAAAGGGAGTTTTCCTTCCCACTGATGCCAAAGTGCTTGTTCATAGGGGGTCATATGATTGTTGGGTTTTTCTCTGTATCTATGAAGCGCCTTGAGGCGACTTTTGTTGTGATTTGGTGCTATATAAATAAATTGAATTGAATTGATCAGTGGGCTTTGTTCAGTAGTTGTTGATCAATGGTCATGATAATTTTTATATTAATGATCAAGGAACTGACCTCACGATCCATTGTTCATTCAGTGGGTTGGTTTCAGTTATTGTGCAAATGTACTGTTTATAAGATTGGGGAAACCTGCAGTCAGCTGAGACTGAAGAAGTCACTTTGGATGAGTGACAAAATGCTTCTACTACTGAAAATGTTACATCTAGATGAACAGAATCAACCTTTTGGGGTCTATTTACCTGGATGATTGAACATTCATCAAGACATATTTCATTCAATGGAGTGGTGTGCTGACAGATCAGTCATGAGCAGTTTGATCCACATACGGATTCAAGTGAAATTGTGAGAATATTGGCCTGTTCCTTTATCAGTGTGTAACAGTGTGTGTATGAGAGCCATGTAATGTCCATGTGTGCATGCTGACTGTGCTGCTCTGACCCCCCTCCTCCTCTCAGGGTGGAGCCTGCTGGAGTCCAATGGTTGAGACCAGGTCTGAGGAAGTGTAAGTGTGTTTTTAATGGGATTCATGAAAACAAACCAGCACACATTCAACCATCTTCATCATTCTGATGTCAGGAGTCATCATCAAAGTATCAATCAATGAACAGATGATGGATCAATAACTGCAGCTGGATTGTGTTTGTTCTCTCCATCAGATTCCTGTCAACTCACAATCGACACAAACACAGTGAACACAAACCTCCAACTGTCTGACAACAACACAAAGGTGACACATGTGGAGGAGGTTCAGTCATATCCTGATCATCCAGACAGATTTGGTTTTCATCCTCAGCTGCTGTGTAGAAATGGTCTGACTGGTCGCTGTTACTGGGAGGTCGAGTGGAGAGGAGACATTTGTATATCAGTGAGTTACAGAAGAATCAGAAGGAAAGGAGACAGTAACGATTTTGTTTTTGGACTCAATGATCAGTCCTGGAGTCTTGAGTTCTCTGATGATGGTCCTTGCTATGTCTGGCATAATAAAAGACAAACATCCATCTCCTCCTCCTCCTCCTTCTCCTCCTCCTCTGTCTCTAACAGAATAGCAGTGTATGTGGACTGTCCTGCTGGCACTCTGTCCTTCTACAGAGTCTCCTCTGACACTCTGATCCACCTCCACACCTTCAACACCACATTCACTCAAACTCTTTATCCTGGGTTTACAGTCTACCGAGGTTCCTCAGTGTCCCTGTGCTGAGTGGAGTGTAAGGAGTGTCCTCCTGTTAGATAAACACTCTGACTGTTGAACAGATAGTTCAGTCTGTACATGTCTGTCTGTTTTTTTGTTTTTTTTTTGTCTCTTGGCTCTCAGTGAAGGCGTTTGCACTTTTCTCCTCTCCTGCCCTTATCTTCCCTGCTTAGCTTCTTATGTCCTTGTCTTGTCTTGTGTTTTTACTTACTTGTCCCTGGAACACTCTCTCACAGTCTGTTCTCTAAAACCTAAAAGAGGAATTATCGATTTGATCAACTGGTCTCTGAATGCAATTGACACCCTTGTCAACGCGAAGTCTGGGCTCGGGTGAGCCTGACTGCTGAAGATATCTACCTATTCTGAACCATGATAACAGGGTTCTTGCTGATCAGAGCTGGCTTGGCCCTGGCTTATCGAAGAATTA